ATATCGTCGCACTCACATATCGTTTGTCTATGCACAAAGTCACAATGCACTGCACATCGTCACAATGCACTACATCGTCACAGTGCACTACACGTCACAATGCACTAAACATCGTCACAATGCACTAAACATCGTCACAATGCACTACACATCGTCACAATGCACTACACATCGTCACAATGCACTAAACATCGTCACAATGCACTAAACATCGTCACTATGGACACAGGAGGTCTCGGTTGATCTTGCAATAAACTGCAAGACGTCTCGACTCTCCATAAACCAGGAAACATTTGATAACATTCGGCTGTGTCATGCTCCCAGGTCACTCTGCCAAGGTGACACGTTCTCCTAGGTCACACTACCAAGGTGACACGTTCTCCTAGGTGACACTCCAAGGTGACACGTTCTCCAGGTGACACTACCAAGGTGACACGTTCTCCTAGGTGACACTACCAAGGTGACATACGTTCTCTAGGTGACACTACCAAGGTGACACGTTCTCCTAGGTGACACTACCAAGGTGACACGTTCTCCTGGGTGACACTACCAAGGTGACACGTTCTCTAGGTGACACTACCAAGGTGACACTACCAAGGTGACACGTTCTCTAGGTGACACTACCAAGGTGATACGTTCTCCTAGGTGACACTACCAAGGTGATACGTTCTCTAGGTGACACTACCAAGGTGACACGTTCTCCTAGGTGACACTACAAGGTGATACACGTTTCCTAGGTGACACTACCAGGTGATACGTTCTCCCTGGTGACACTACCAATACGTTCTCCTAGGTGACACTACCAAGGTGATACGTTCTCCTAGGTGACACTACCAAGGTGATACGTTCTCCTAGGTGACACTACCAAGGTGACACGTTCTCCTAGGTGACACTACGAAGATGACAAATTTTATGGTGGTACTTCAAAGTTAAGTTAGGTTAGGTTAGGTTAGGTTAGGTTAGGTTAGGTTAGGTTAGGTTAGGTTAGTGGTGTTCATCTTTTAGGTTAGTGGTGTTCATCTTCGGGTTATTCCTCTCATATATTCTCTAATAAATCCCAAGAGTTTCAACAACATTATCCTCAAACATTTCAACACTAAACACTTCAAGTTATTCCTCGAGCACCTGACAACAACCTTGATTCAATAATGATCTTGGGTGTGGAGGAGGAGGGAAAGAGGTCATGATTGTCTCAGCTAAAGCAAGAGAAGAAGAAATAAGATAATACTTTTCTTGTCTAAGCCACAAAAAAAATGAATTTGTTGTGGTGGTGGTGAGTGTTGGGGGCTGTGGGGTGTTCTGGGGACTCATGGTCTGGGGGAGGCTTATGAGGTCTTGGGGGCTCTGAGGGGTCTAGGGGCTCTCCTCACTGGGTCTAGGGGCTCTCCTCACGGGGGTCACACCAAACCATTATAATAATTTCTCCTGATTTTTGCACAAAACTTGAGAATATTGTGTGTGGTTCCAAGGACAGGTGAAGGTACATCTCTAAACCTTTATTATTGATAATTTTCTTCTCGTCTATTGAATCATTATTATTTATATTTTCTTCTCGTCTATTGAATCATTATTATTCATATTTTCCTCTCGTCTATTGAATATTATTATTCATATTTTCCTCTCGTCTATTGAATCATTATTATTCATATTTTCTTTCGTCTATTGAATCATTATTATTCATATTTTCCTCGTCTATTGAATCATTATTATTCATATTTTCCTCTGTCTATTGAATCATTATTATTCATATTTTCTTCTCGTCTATTGAATCATTATTATTCATATTTTCCTCGTCTATTGAATCATTTTATTATTTCCTCTCGTCTATTGAATCATTATTATTCATATTTTCGTCTATTGAATCATTATTATTCATATTTCTCTCGTCTATTGAATCATTATTATTTATATTTTCTCTCGTCTATTGAATCATTATTATTCATATTTTCCTCGTCTATTGAATCATTATTATTCATATTTTCCTCTCGTCTATTGAATCATTATTATTTATATTTTCTTCTCGTCTATTGAATCATTATTATTCATATTTTCCTCTCGTCTATTGAATCATTCCAAGGTGGTAATTCTAGTGGAGTTCAGTCGGTATTTACACATAGAATCGAATATTGTTTCTTGAGTTTTATTTAATGACGTAGTTAAGTATGCAGTATTTATTAGTCAAGGTGAGGTGGGTGTAGACGTGGGTGTAGAGGTGGGGTGTAGGTGAGGTGGGTGGAGGTGGGTGTAGACGTGGGTGTAGGTGAGGTGAGTGGAGAGGTGGGTGTAGTGGTGGGTGTAGAGGTGGGTGTAGGTGGGGTGGGTAGGTGGGGAGGTGGGTGGAGAGGTGGGTGTAGTGGTGGGTGGGTGGGTGTAGGTGAGGAGGTGTGAAGGTGGGTGTAGACGTGGGTGCAGAGGTGGGTGTAGGTGAGGTGGGTGGAGAGGTGGGGTGTAGGTGGTGGGTGGAGAGGTGGGTGTAGTGGTGGGTGTAGACGTGGGTGTAGGTGAGGTGGATGGAGAGGTGGGTGTAGTGGGGTGTAGAGGTGGGTGTAGGTGAGTGGAGAGGGTGGTATAGGTGAGGTGGGTGTAGAGGTGGGTATAGGTGAATGAGGTATTTATGAATGATTTTTTAAATGAATGTAAAATGTATGAAAGATTAAACTCAAGGAAAATCAAGAGAAAGGAATTGAAAGAAATTAAAGAAATATACACCTGGTGAATTATTACAGGTGAGTCATGAAGTTATCAATGAATTTAATGAATGAAGGAAATTGTAGGTTAATTAGACCAAAATAGAAGTATACATACATACATACATACATACATACATACATACATACATACATACATACATACATACCCTACTCAAAATAAATTCTTCAACTTTTCTACTTTTCAACTGTTTGTTTACTTTTGCTTTTAGGTTAGGTTAGGTTAGGTTAGGTTAGGTTAGGTTAGGTTAGGTTAGGTTAGGTTAGGTTAGGTTAGGTTAGGTTAGGTTAGGTATTATAGACTCAGTAAGACTCGAGTCAAGAGTATAGAGTCAGTCCTCACCTCGCGTCTCTCAGCGCCGCCATATTTGTCGTCTGAAAAGATAAGAGGAAAAATACAATCATGACGACGATACAAGGAAAACCCACACCACCACGGGGCGGGGTCATGGGTCAGGGGGGCATTGAGGGGCGTGGGGGTTAGGAGGGTTATAAGGGGGTGATGAGGTGCAGGAGGTGTGTCACGGGGGCTGGTGTGTGTGTGGGTGTTTGGAGGGGCGAAGGGTAGGGGTCACAGGGGGCCATGGGGTAGAAGGGGTTATAGAGTCGTGGGGGGCGTGAGGGGCAAGAGGGGTGTCACATGGGGTGGATTTGTGTATATGTGTGTATGTGTTTGTGTTTGGAGGGGCGAGAGGGGAAAAAGAGGTGAGGGTCTGGGGGCCACAGGGGGGGCAGAAAGGGGTGTCACGGGGGCTGGCGAGTGTGTGGAGGGGGCGGTGAGGGGGTTCGTGGGGGTCGTGGGGGCGGCAGGGGCACGGTGGCTGTCCACCGCCAACCTTACCTAAGAAAAAAGATGACTCAGCATTTAACTATTCCTCTGTGGCAAGTCTCTGAATAATTTCCAGTTGTCGAGAAGTTCTTTTGTTTTCTTTTGTTTTCTTTTTGTTTTCTTTTGTTTTCTTTTGTTGTTTCTGTTGGTTAGATCAATTTCATTAAATCTTCGTCTCTGATCATAAATATTTGTTAGTGATGACAGTGAAGTGATGATGGTTAGTAAGAGTGAGTGATGAGTTTAGGGGATAATAACTTCATATATGGGCCAGCCACACACACACACACACACACACACACACACACACACGCACACAGGGGTGAGAAGTTACGTGTACATAGACTGATATGGGCTAATGTACACCCCATGTATTGTTCCTCTTGATGTGTGTATGTATGTATGTATGTGTACGTGTCTGTGTGTGTATTTGTCTGCACACTGGCACCTTCCTCCTCTTTCTATATATGGTAAAAACATCTTCAACATCCGGGTTTTTTTCATCATATGTAATGCTGACTCTGAGTTCTCCCCAAGCCTTCTCTTCCATGTTTCTATTTAAAGCAAAGTTGGACCAGTAAACACCCCTTGGATAGTGTCCTTATCGGGGGTGCACGCGCCTAGCCACGAGCCATCATCCACTAGCCAGCCCCTCTGTCCCTCGTCCAACACCTTGAAGAAACGGGGAACTAAGGAAGGAGCATTAGCGTGATGATGTTTATTGTATGTGAAGGGGAGATGTGTTTGTTGTATGTGTGTTTGTGTGTGTCTGTGTAGTTGTGTGAAGGCAAGGAGACCAGGTAGTGTTGATGTGTTTGTTGTGTTTGTTACAGGTGTGAAGGGTGTGGGACAAGAAGGCGGTGTTTGTGATGATTGTGTTTGTTGCTCTGTCATCTTATCAGTGGACGATGGAGGAGGTCGCTTATGCCAGGCCGGTAATGTCTTGCTTCTTTTCAGCAAGTCAGGAGTTCAGATCACCTGCTGGATGTTGCGGGTGTTGTGTGGGTGTGTGGGTGTTGTGTGGGTGTGTGGGTGTTGTGTGGGTGTTGTGTGTGTGTGTATGTATAGGTATTTCATGGGTAATAGTGTTTGCAGGTGGGTAAAGTATTATGTTGTGTTGTGTGGTGTGTAGGGATAGAGTCTTGAATGTAAGGTGTTACAGATGAGTACCTCGTTCAGTATTCAGTCTAAGTATGGAGTAAATACTTATATAGAGAGTTACTACACATAAAACAACAACAGTAAAATCTACAATATTCAAGACAACATCACAAAGCTAGACTATGAAAAGCAGAATTGTTAACTAGGTGTTGGGAGGCGACGGTGAAGCAAAACAAAACAAGAATTAGACTTTAATATGAGACTTAAAACTTGTTTGTAGGAGATGTATCATTGGCCAAAAGTTGTGCAGGAGGCAGGAGGATGGTGGTGATGATGGCGGCTGGTGGGGAGTGTTGACGGCGACCAGAAAGGTAGTGCATGGGTGGTCACCTACCCTCACCCTCCTTACACCAGGTGGGGGAGCACAGCCGTTACCCACTATCACACCTGCCAGTTTGCTTTATCACGAAACAAGGAAACTCAGCCTTCAGGCATGCAGTAAATCGCGTAAATTATTTCCATATGAAGTCAGCGAGGAGCTACATCCGCCTCGGCAGTGCAGCTTGGAGGTGGATGGCTGTGGGCCGGTCAGACGGCAGAGTGTGTTGAGCGCAGACCCGCACACCTTACCACCAGCACTCACCTCTTGTGTCGCAGCATCCACACCTGTCGCACACATCCACACCTGTCGCACACATACACACCTGTCGCACCGACGTCCCTCCTCCAAACCATGAGCCAGAAACAGGTCAGGCAAAAGAAAGTAAGTGTGTTGTGTTGTGTTGTGTTGTGGTGTGTTATGTTGTGATGTGTTTGCTTTGTAACTGTTTGTTTTGTGTGTGTGTGTTGTAATTAGCGTTATCTGGTTGTAGCTGTCTATATATAACCGGGTTGTTGTAATTTAAGTTGGTTTTACTGAATCGTGTTGTGGGTGTTGTGGGTGTTGTGGGTGTTGTGGGTGTTGGAGGTGACGGAATAGCTGTTTGTGTTGTGAAAAGTGTTGTATATATATATATTACGTGCTTTTGATTGTAGTTGTTCCATACATAAGTGTTGTTGTTGTAGTGTTTATAAATATTAAGTGTTATTACTGTTGTTGTTGTAGCGAGTGTTGTATATTAAGTGTTGTTGCAGTGTGTGTGTGTGTGTGTGTGTGTGTGTGTGTGTGTGTGTGTGTGTGTGTGTACTAGATGACAACTATGTATACACGTCCATGTATACCTGTATATACCTTGTAACAAGTACTGTATATTGGCAAACTGTCCAAATCACTGTCAATAAACACAGTGCCTCTCACTGCAATCACTGCCCCTTGTACTATAATCACGTGTGAGTCGGCCAATCACTGCCCCTTGTACTATAATCACGTGTGAGTTAAGAATGACAAAAATGATCCATAATATTAGAAACCTTCCATATGAAGAAAGACTGAAAAGCTTACATTCATTAGAGAGGCGTAGAGTTAGGGGAGATATGATAGAGGTGTACAAGTGGGTAAGTGGGATTAACAAGGGTAAAATGGAAGATGTTCTGAAGCTCAGTAATAACGAAATAACTAGAACAAATGGCTTTAAATTAGATAAATTCCGATTCAGAAAGGATATAGGCAAGCACTGGTTTGGTAATAGAGTTGTGGATATGTGGAATAGGCTACCGAGTGCTATAGTAGGATCGGGGACGCTAGGGAGCTTCAAGACGAAGTTGGATAGGCACATGGAAGTGCTGGGATGGGTGTGAAAGGGATCTGCCCTGCATGGGCCAGTCGGCCTCCTGCAGTATCCCACTTTCTTATGTTCTTATGTTCTTATGAGTCGGCCAATCACTGCGCCTTGTACTATAATCACGTGTGAGTCGGCCAATCACTGCGCCTTGTACTATAATCACGTGTGAGTCGGCCAATCACTGCGCCTTGTACTATAATCACGTGTGAGTCGGCCAATCACTGCGCCTTGTACTATAATCACGTGTGAGTCGGCCAATAATCGCAGCGTCGTCCACAATAATCGATTATCCTTGTATAATAATTTGCCTGGATAACCATAGTGTCTCTCTGAGTATTTTATCGTGTATGTGAATCATTTTATTCTTGTGTTTCTGTGAGGATTTTCAGACAACTTTTAGTTTTACGAAATGCTGACCAACAACGAAATGCTGACCCTAACTTAACGAAATGCTGACCCCTAACTTAACGAAATGCTGACCCTAACTTAACGAAATGCTGACCCTAACTTAACGAAATGCTGACCCTAACTTAACGAAATGCTGACCCTAACTTAACGAAATGCTGACCCCTAACTTAACGAAATGCTGACCCCTAACTTAACGAAATGCTGACCCCTAACTTAACGAAATGCTGACCCCTAACTTAACGAAATGCTGACCCTTAACAATGAAATGCTGACCCTAACTTAACGAAATGCTGACCCTTAACTTAATGAAATGCTGACCCCTAACTTAACGAAATGCTGACCCCTAACAACGAAATGCTGACCCCTAACAACGAAATGCTGACCCTAACAACGAAATACTGACCCTTAACAACGAAATGCTGACCCTAACAACGAAATGCTGACCCTAACTTAACGAAATGCTGACCCTTAGCAATGAAATGCTGACCCTAACTTAACGAAATGCTGACCCTAACTTAACGAAATGCTGACCCTAACTTTACGAAATGCTGACCCTTAACTTAACGAAATGCTGACCCTTAACTTAACGAAATGCTGACCCTAACTTAACGAAATGCTGAACCTAACAACGAAATGCTGACCCCTAACCTAACGAAAGGCTGACCCTTAACTTAACGAAATGCTGACTTAGGAAAGGCTGATTAGTTTACGAAATACTGGCTTGGATTAACGAAATATTGACTCTTGATGTAACGAAAGGTTGACTTTCTCGTTAAAGTAGACAAAACAACAGGCTTGTAGATGAGGTAGACAGCAGGTAGATGAGAGTAGACAGCAGGTAGGTCGAGAGTGACAGCAGGTAGATGAGGAGACAGCAGGTAGATAGATGAGGTAGACAGCAGGTAGATGAGTAGACAGCAGGTAGGTAGATAGGGGACAGCAGAGGTAAAGAGCAGCAGGTAGGTAGATGAGGTGGAAGGTGTGAGAGGAGGCGCCGTCCATGTTGCTCAGCCAGGTGTGTGAGGTCCGTCTACCTGCCTCTACCTGTCTACCTCAATACCTGCCTCTACCTGTCTACCTCTCTACCTGCCTCTACCTGTCTACCTCTACCTGCCTCCTAGCCTGTCTACCCTCAATACCTGCCTCTACCTGTCTACCTCTCTACCTGCCTCTACCTGTCTACCTCAATACCTGCCTCTACCTGTCTAACCAATTAGCACTGTTAACCCTAGTATAGTGACCTCTGGCACTGTTAGCCCTGATATAATGACCACTGGCACTGTTAACCCTGATATAGTGACCTCTGGCACTGTTAACCCTGATAGAGTGACCTCTGGCACTGTTAACCCTGATAGAGTGACCTCTGGCACTGTTAACCCTGATATAGTGACCTCTAGCACTGTTAACCCTGATATAGTGACCTCTGGCACTGTTAACCCTGATATAGTGACCTCTGGCACTGTTAACCCTGATATAGTGACCTCTGGCACTGTTAACCCTGATATAGTGACCTCCGTCATCATACATATCATACAAAAGTCATATTAATCATACATAAATGTATGAGTCGTGGGAGTAAATTACCTATTGACAGCGGCCGTTCCCACGAGCCCTGGCCAGACCGCACGCGGTGAGGGGCGAGCCGCATGCGGTCCTTACCTGGTGACGTCTCTTATGGGGGTCATACCTGGTACCCGGAAAACACGGGGAGTCACCAGGTTGTTAGGTCACCATGGTGTTAGGTTACCAGGTGGTTAGGTCACCAGGTTGTTAGGTCACCAGGTTGTTAGGTCACCAGGGTGTTGGGTCACCATGGTGTTAGGTTACCAGGTGGTTAGGTCACCAGGGTTGTTAGGTCACCAGGTTGTTAGGTCACCAGGTTGTTAGGTCACTGGGTTGATAGGTCACCAGGTTGTTAGGTCACCAGGTTGTTAGGTCACCCTGGTGTTAGGTTACCAGGTGGTTAGGTCACCAGGTTGTTAGGTCACCAGGTTGTTGGGTCACCAGGTTGTTGGGTCTCCAGGTTGTTAGGTCACCAGGTTGTTAGGTCACCAGGTGGTTAGGTCCCATGGTGTTAGGTTACCAGGTGGTTAGGTCAGGTGATAGGTCACCGGGTTGTTAGGTCACCAGGTTGTTAGGTGACCCTGGTGTTAGGTTACCAGGTTGTTGGGTCACCAGGTTGTTAGGTCACCCTGGTGTTGGTCACCAGGATGTTGGTTACCAGGTTGTTAGGTCACCAGGTTGTTAGGTCACCAGGTTGTTAGGTCACCAGGTTGTTAGGTGACCTGGTGTTAGGTCACCCTGGTGTTAGGTCACCAGGTTGTTAGGTCACCCTGGTGTTAGGTCACCAGGATGTTAGGTCACCAGGTTGTTAGGTCACCAGGTTGTTAGGTCACCTGGTGTTGGGTCCCAGGTTGTTAGGTCACCAGGTTGTTAGGTCACCAGGTTGTTAGGTCTCCCAGGTTGTTAGGTCACCAGGTTGTTAGGTCACCAGGTTGTTAGGTCACCAGGTTGTTAGGTACTAGGTTGTTAGGTCACCAGGTTGTTAGGTCACCAGGTTGTTAGGTCACCAGGTTGTTAGGTCACCAGGTTGTTGAGTACCCTAGTGTTGGGTCACCAGGTTGTTAGGTCACCAGGTTGTTAGGTCACCAGGTTGTTAGGTCACCAGGTTGTTAGGTCACCAGGTTGTTAGGTCACCAGGTTGTTGGGTCACCAGGTTGTTAGGTCACCAGGTTGTTAGGTTACCCTAGTGTTAGGTCACCAGGTTGTTGGGTCACCAGGTTGTTGGGTCACCAGGTTGTTGGGTCACCAGGTTGTTGGGTCACCAGGTTGTTAGGTCACCCTGGTGTTAGGTCACCAGGATGTTAGGTCGCCAGGTTGTTAGGTCACCAGGTTGTTAGTCACCAGGTTGTTAGCGGTTGGTCACCAGGTTGTTAGGTCACCAGGTTGTTGGGTCACCAGGTTGTTAGGTCACCAGGTTGTTGTTAGGTCACCAGGTTGTTAGGTCACCAGGTTGTTAGGTCACCAGGTTGTTGGGTCACCAGGTTGTTAGGTTACCCTAGTGTTAGGTCTAGGTTGATGGGTCACCCTGGTGTTAGGTCTGGGTTGATGGGTCACCAGGTTGTTAGGTCACCAGGTTGTTAGGTCACCAGGTTGTTAGAGTCCACCAGGTTGTTAGGTCACCAGGTTGTTAGGTCACCAGGTTGTTAGGTCACCAGGTTGTTAGGTCACCCTGGTGTTGGGTCACCAGGTTGTTAGGTCACCAGGTTGTTAGGTCACCCTGGTGTTAGGTCACCAGGTTGTTGTTGGTCACGGTTGTTAGGTCACCAGGTTGTTAGGTCACCAGGTTGTTAGGTCACCAGGTTGTTAGGTCACCAGGTTGTTAGGTTCACCAGGTTGTTAGGTTACCCTGGTGTTGGGTCACTAGGTAAACCTGTCTCATGACAGGTACACCTGCCTCATGACAGGTACACCTGCCTCATGACAGGTACACCTGCCTCATGACAGGTACACCTGCCTCATGACAGAACACCTGCCTCATGACAGGTACACCTGCCTCATGACAGATACACCTGCCTCATGACAGGTACACCTGTCTCATGACAGATACACCTGTCTCATGACTGGTACACCT